TTGTACTGGTCACTTTAAAGGACACTGTAACCCCTTGACATTCTCTTCAGCTCACAGTTTAGGTCCTATCACCTTAAAGCAAGAAAGGAGAACTCTGTTTACTCCTGTTCTTATTTAGATTATTTGTTTCTGGGATGTGGACATAATTCTGGCCAGGTCTGCTTTGCTGTCTGCCCAGAATTGTTCTTGAAGAAAGTAGCCACTTTCTTGTACTACTGCAATCCACACAATGTAAGTGTACTCACTGCCCTGTTAGGACATTTCCAAGATTTGATCCCACAGCAGTAAAAGAATGACCATACATTTCCCAGCCAGGATGGTGACATAGTGAGGAGTTTGCTGGTCAGCTGCTACAGTGTATCCTGTAGATCGTCCATCAAGCTGACTGCTTTGTCATACGGTCTTAAGCATCCTGGACCTATCATCATTCAGGCAATAAAGAAATATTCCATCACACACCTAGCCTATGCTGTGTGGACTGATTTTGGAGAGTCAGATGGTTAGTCTGACCCATTGTTTTGTCCACACCATTTGTCTAACTGATTCCAGTCGAGCTCACACAGTGTTAATGGTAAGATCTTCCACAGTGGTAATGGAATTGATGGTGGCCATGCCTGACACTTTGAGTACACAAATCTCACTTGCTACTAATCCACACAAGGTTGAATGGCACGTGTGCGCGTGCACAACTTAATTTTCTGAGGAGATAGATACAGCTGGAACTGGATACCATGCAATTATCAGTGACTATCCCCACCTCTGACTTTATGATGGAGACACAGATTGCTAGTGCTGTTATGGAAGGTTTAAGCCAAAGCTTCCCAAATTATTTTCTAATGCAAGCCCTTCCTAACACTCCAGAGTTAATTACCTGAGCTGCCAACTCAAGCAACATAGTAACATTCAATACATAAATATTAATATTTGCATATTGTAGATAATCATAAAGACACAGAAGTCAGTGATTTTAAACAACTTTGTAAAATGTTGTTGTGAGCATCCAACAGGGCCTAATTAGATTCATGAGCACATCAGAATGACAATCGCTTCCTCCAGGAGATAGCAAGGACTGTTGATGATTCAAGTCACAGTCAATAAAATGTAGAGCTGGAGGAGCACAGCAGGCCAGACAGCATCTGAGGAGGTCCAGCTCCACATTTTATCAATCGCTTACTCCAGCTGTGTCAGTATGGCTTCTAAAAGATGTTCATTCAACTTCATTCAACAATTATTCATTCAACAATTATTCATTCAACAATTTGTAGAAATCAATTCATTAACAAATAGGAGTGACATTTTGGGAACAGACACCACACACATCCACAGTTCTTTCGGTTTTTATGATTGGGTGGGGTTTGATTCAAATTCTAAATGTCGTGTGTGTGTTGTCGCATCTTGCACTTTATCCTGTAATTCATTGCCACACATTGAAGGCTTTGAGATTAACACGGTTTTATTTCTCACGACTGTCTTTATTGATTCTAGGATCCTAATTAGAGTTGCAATCCATAGTTTGAGAACCACTGTATTAAACGGGCTTGGCAGAAAGGTGGGAAGTAGGATTTGGCAGTAAGATCTATTTCTGGATTACCGTGCACATGTGTAAATGAACAGAGGGTGATAAATAAGATTGGTGAACTACAGGTGCTAATAGCCACATGGGAATAAGGTGTAAATGAAAATCAGAGTCAAATTAAGGAAAGACTGGATACCCAGGTTCTCAGGAAAGATAGAGAAGGAAAGAAAGGAAGAGGATGGCTGTATTTATTCAGGAAAACATTTACAGTGCTTTGGCAAGGAAGATGTCCTGCAGTCAAGACAAAGCATGTTTGGCTACATTTAAGAAAGAATACAGGTATCAATACTTTCTAAAGGCCACCAAATAATGGGTAAGACACAGAGGAGCAAAACTGTTAGAAACTTACCAAGAATGCAAGATTTTTTTTACAAAAATGTTGTATTCACTCGCGGGACATGGTGTCACTGACTGGGCCTGCTTTTATTACCTGTCCTGAGTTGCCGTTGAGAAGGTGGGGGTGAGCTGCCTCTTGAACGGCTGCAGTCCATGTGCTGTAGGTTGACCCACAATGTCATTAGGAAGGGAATTCCAGGATTTTGACCCAGTGACAGTGAAGGAACTGCGATATATTTCCAAGTCAGATTGGCGAGTGGCTTGGTGAGGAACTTGCAGGGGATGGCGTTCCCATGTATCTGCTGCCCTTGACCTTCTAGATGGAAGTGGTTGTGGGTTTGGAAGGTGCTATCTGAGGATCTTTGGTGAATTTCTGCAGTGAATTTTGTAGATGGTACACACTGCTGCTACTGAGTATTGATTTTGGAGGGAGAGAATGCTTGTGGATGTGGTGCTAATTGTGCAGGTGTAACAACAAATCCAAGACATTCTATAGGTAACAAGGTGTAGAGCTGGATGAACACAGCAGGCCAAGCAGCATCATAGGAGCAGGAAGGCTAAGATAACAAGGCTAACATTCTATAGGCTTTTTTTTAGTCTTTTGTGGTATGTAGGCATCACTGACTGTGCCAGTATTGTTTGTCTATCCCTAATTGCTCCTTGAGAAGGTGGTGATGAGCTGCCTTCTTGAACCCCTGCAATTCATGTGATGTAGAGACATCCACAGTGCTATAATGAAGAGAGTTCCAGATCATTACTCGGCAACAGCAAAGGTATGGTGATCTGGTTCCAAATCAGGGCTGTGTGCCTCAGAAGTGAACTTGCAGATAGTGGTGCTTCCGTGCATCTGCCATGCTTATTCTTCCCTGGCCCAACCATCTTTCATCAATGACCTTCCCTCTAACTTAGGGTTAGAAGTGGGGGATGACTGCTGATGATTGCACAATGCTCAACAACATTCAAAACTCCTCAGAAACTGGAGCCACCCGCGTCCAAACATAACAAGTTCTGGACAACTTTCAGGCTTGGACTGATTAGTGACATTATTGCATTCAGTCCACACAAGTGCCAGGTACTGACTATCTCCAAGAAGGGAGAATCCAAACATCTTCCCTTGATGTACGATGGCATTACCATCACTGCGTCCCTATTAACAATATTCTGGGGGTAACCATTGACCAAAAATTGGACCGGACCCAACATGTAAATCATGCAGCTGCAAGGGCAGTTCTGAAGCTGGAAATTCCAAGGCAAATAACTCAGTTCCTCCCTCCTCAAATCCGTCCACCATCAAAAAAAGCAGAAATCCTTAGTGATGAAATACTCTCCACATTCCTGAACGGGTTCTGCTCCAACAGCAATCAAGAAACGTGATACCCACCAGGACAAAGGAACTTGCTTCATTGACAACCCATCCACCCAGTTCAATACTCACGCCCTCCACCATGAACACACACTGGCAACACAAGGCACCATCTACAAGATGCACTGCAGCAATTCACCAAGGCTCTTTCAGCAGCCACCTTTCAAACCTTAACGAGAGCCAGCACAGATTTACAATCATACAGTCTGAGAGATGTACAGCATGAAAACAAACCCTTTGGCCCAAGTCGTCCATGCCGACAAGATATCCTAAATTAATCTAGTCCCTTTTGCCCTCATTTGGCCCATGTCCTTCTAAACCTTTCCTATTCATGTATCCATCCAGATGCCTTTTAAATGCTGTAATTGTACCAGCCTCCACCACTTCCTCTGGCAGCTCATTCCATACACGCACCACCCTCTGTGTGAAAAAATTGCCCCTTTGGTCCCTTTTAAATCTTGCCCCTCTCACCTTAAACCTATGCCCCTCTAGTTTTGGACTCCCCCACCCCAGGGAAAAGACTTTGGCTATTCACCCTATCCATGCCCCTCATGATTTTATAAAGCAAATTAAATCTAACTAATTTGATTGTGTTTCTCGATTACAAAGATACTATGATTGGCATTTGAAGAAGTGCCACGTAATAGGATTGCCAGCATAGAGGAAGATTAGGGCACAGTGGTCTGTTTCTGTATCAAAGCCACAGCACGGACTATAACTTGGCTGAATGACAGGAACAGATGATTGGAGTAGGTTGCTCCTCTGTATTCAGTACCAGAACCACTGCTTTTCTTCATTTACATTTGGACATGCCGAATAATGCTTCAAAATTTGCAAATTGGACAAAACCTGGCAGTTATGTGAATGGTGAGGAGGATGGTGATGGTTTTCAAGAGGTCACAGGCTGAGGGAGTGGGTGGGATACATGATGGCTGATACTGAATGTAGAGAAATGTGACGTGATACATTTGATGGGAAGATGGAGTAAAGGCATTCCAAGTTCGAAGGTACAATTGGGAGGAAGGGACAGGATCAGAGGGGCCTTGGCGTTAATGTGCACCATGTTGGAAGTGGTGAAATATGCCTTACAGGATGTTTTCTTTACGAATCAAGACATAGAATACAAAAGCAAGCTAGTTATAATGGGCCTTTATATAAGTCTGGTGTACCCTCAGGAGGAACACTGTGTCCGTCTTGAATATCGGAGTTTGGGAAGAGCACGCAAACTTTACACAGAAGAGTTTGGTAAGAGTTGATCCGAGGGTGACTGACTTCAGTTATGAGGATGGAGTAGAGAAGCTCTGCTGTCCTTAAGTGAAGAGAAAGGTGGGTAGGGGAGCAGTAGCATTGAGTTGAAGTAGTTTGGTTCTCCCTGCCAGAAGAGTCAAAAACCAGGCCACCCTGATTTAAGTTGACTGGCAAAAGAGCCAAAAATACAATGAAAAAATGTTATTTCAGTGCATCTGGATTGGGAATGAACTGCCTCAGAAGAGGCTGGAGGCAGGTCCAATGCTGGCTTTGGGATCGGATAAGCAACAGAAGCTTTCAAATAAAAAGGTTATAAAGGACGGGTTGTTCTTGCAGAGAGCTGGCACTGTTTGGACGGGCCGAACAGCCTCTTTCTCTGCGCGATGAATCCAGGATTTGTGTGCAGCAGCATTCCACAGGGGAGATGGTGGGGGAACCCTGCTTGTTGTGGAGGCTGCAGGGCAGTTGTACAGTCCCAGAGATGAAGACGGTGCGGTACAGTGTGTCCGGAGCCGACTGGAAAAAGGAAGTGAATGTGTGGAGGAAGTGGAGATATAAGAAGCTGTTGGGTGAACGTTTTGTGTCAGTGCCTGCTGAGCAGACCCGGAGCGGACATTGGCCATGGCAAGTCCCATGAAAGAAGGAATCCTGCACATTCTGCAGTATAAGTTTGGCATGGTAAGTTCGGGCAGGGCTGGGGGCGATCAGTGCAAACTGGCACAGACCCTTAACAGGGCTCTCCCCGCGGCTCACACCTAACGCGGCGCTTCGTTTCTATATAACCCGCAGCTTCTCCTAAGTCCCTCATCCCCATGCACTCGCTGCCAGCTCCAGGCCTTTCCAATCTGGTCATGTTTCCGCGAACCCTTGCATTCCTGAGCAGCCTGGACCATCCCTGCTGAGCCCAGCGCTGGCCGGTTACTGAGCCAGGGATCCCAGAATCGCTTCGGAAATTGCGGGGTGATTAAAACAAAAACTCGGGGGTGGGGGTGGCATTGCCCCTAGGACAGCACCGTCGCCCCTAGTCCCTCTGGCTAGGTCAGTCACGGCTGGGAATATCACTATTCACAGCCAGCAAGCTGGGGCTGGGAGCGGGGGTGGCCTGGGTTTCATTGGATGCAAATTTATTCCTGTGGCTTATTATCCCTTAACTTTGAGGTGTCTGGTCATGTTTCTATTTTTTTTGTAAAGATTGGATGCACTTAGGAGATTTTGTCCAGCTCCAGGAACAGAAAATATGCATTTTTCAGTTGAGGTTACTATTCTAATCTCATCCTAACAGCCGTTGGTGACATGGACTTCCCCTTTAAGAGATTTTGTAATCAAGGGACGAGTTTATATTGTCATGGAGTCATACAGTTACACAGCACAGAAACAGACCCTTTGGTCCAACTTGTCCATGCCGACCTGATATCCTAAACGGATCTAGTCCCGTTTGCCAGCATTTGGCCCATATCCCTCTCAACCTTCCTATTCATGTACCCATCCAGATGCCTTTTAAATGTTGTAATTGTACCAGCCTCCACCACTTCCTCTGGCAGCTCATTCCATAACCCACCGAATCTACACATCCCTGAGCACTACAGGCAATTTACCATGGCCAATCCACCCTAACCTGCACATCTTTGGACTGTGGGAGGAAACTGGAGCAAATCCATGCAGATACGGGAAGAATGTGCAAACTCCACACAGACAGTTGCCCGAGGGTGGGATCGAACCCGGATCCCCAGCACTGTGAGGCAGCAGTACTAACCACTGAGCCACCATGCCACCCCACAGGTATATGCATGTTCCGAGTTGAATACTGATGGTTTTCCTGGATACACACCCCTATCTTCATTCATGGGATGAGGGCATTGCTGGCTAGGCAGCATTTATTGCCCATCCCTAGTTGCCCAGAGTCAACCACATTGCTGAGGGTCTGGAGTCACATGTAGGCCAGATTGGGTATGGATAGCAGGTTCCTTCCCTAAAGGGCATTAGTGAACAGATGGGTTTTTCCCCAACAATTGACAGTGGATTCACAGTCATCACTAGACTCTTAATTCCAGATTTCTTTTTATTTTGAATTCAAATTCTTCCAGCTGTCATGGTGGGATTTGAACCTGGGTCTTCAGAACATTATCTGGGTTACCTGGATTAACAGTTGAGTGATAATACCACTAGGCCATTGCCATTGCCATTGCCCCTCCCCTCTCTTTGTATATTGGTCTCTCCCATACAATTTTAATAAAGGTAGGATAAACTTCACCTCCCTTCTTCAGTGTCACCAGTGACCTTGTGAATTTCTCATCTTCAGCCATTACCTTGTCAATAAATTATAGAAAATTGTTTCAGCGCTTGTCAGCTCTGATTTTCCCCTCAACTTGTGCTGTAGGATATTGTTTGATTTCTGTGAATTCCTCCTTGATATTTTATATCTATCTCGGTGAGAAATGGAAGTGGAGCCATTTTGTTGTTTAGTGACCATTTTGTGGTGAGCCTTATAGCTTAGAAGACCAAGTAGCCAGTTGCTATTCAGTAATGTAGTTGCTGAAGGAGGAGCTCAGTGTTCAGAAATTAGCCAAAACCCCTGCCCATCCTAACCCCTAACTAATGACTTGTTGCCCTTCGGTGGGTAAACATCATCCATGTTGATATGCAACAACACTGCTGTGAAGTGTGCATTTTTGTCTTATTTTCATTTGGATTCCTTTAACCTCTTGTATTCCAGGTCATTTTTGTGTTTTGCGACCGCTGATTTAAGTGCTCCTAGATTTGAGAACTTTCTCTGTTTATATAAATGTTTAGATAATGTCATGGGATGCCTAGAGGTTGAGCAGAGAAAACTCCAGTTTATTCCATTACTGGTTTTATTAAGTAGTTCTCTTTGAATGTGGTGGAATGATTTTCCACTAAGCTCTATAATATTCGGATCAATGGACTGAGTGAGTTATCCTTGTGCGATGGGATTGGCTAGGGTTGAGAAGGTGGACAGTACAGTGGAGGGAGGAAAGCACCAAAAGGAGCCTCTAAATTCTGTATCATTCAGGATCCTTTCTGGAAGCTTAACAGCTCTAACTGCTGAATACATTTATTATACAGTAAAGGCACAAGGAAATCTTGGCAGTAATGCATCAGGTATTTTTGTATTAGTTGAGTTCATTTAGTTCTCAAATATCATATATGCTTGTTTAAGGGTTGAGTTCCTTAAATCAAGTTTTGAAGCAAAAAGCAAAGGGTCAACTTTAATATTCCATTGGGTTGGGTTTTTGTTGCCCCAGGGAAGGCCAACCAAGTGTGACTCCTGATTGGCACCACTTTGGAGTGGCCATGCCCACTTGCTGCTTCTCTAACTTTCCCATTCACTTATCCTTTCATCTAACTTCCTCCATCTTGCTGTTTCTGTCTTGAACCCTTTCAGAGACAAAGCATAAGTGGGAGAGTTGGGCAGGGAATTGTTCAGAAAGAGAGGGAGAGAGTCAGTCCATGGGAGAGATGGTGAGCGGTGGTTAGCAAAAAAAGTTAGGTTCTTTAGCCAAAAAGTCCGTTTGACGGATATACAATACATATGAAAAGTTAAAGATATTTTTGCCTAAAGTTAAAGTCAACTATCACTCAAGTATATATGAAAGTAGAAAACAAATACTTTTCAAATACTGTTCTAAACTAAGAGGAGATGGGGTAGAATTTCTTTTTGGGGAGCACAGTGGTTCATGGTAATTGCAAAGGTGCTCACAAAATAACTCCATGTTCTCACATCAATTTTGACAATTTAAATGTCTGGCTTCATTCCTCACCCATATTTTTCAAGTAAAGAACCCACTTTGCACCATGGCTTTTCACTATAATATAAATAATAAAAATAATAACAATCTTTCACTGCTACAACAATCATTCCTTGACCAATACTTAAGGAAAGCCAGCATGATTCTGTGAAAGGCAATAATTTTTCACTAACTTGATTGAGTTTTTTGATGAGATAACAGAGAGAGTGATGAGAGTAATATGGTTGGTGTAGTGCACTGAGATTTCTAAAGTAGGTTTGAAAACATGCCATATAACAAACTTGCCAATGACGTTGAAGGGTGTGGAATAAATGAGACAGTGATATCATGGATACACAATTGATGGAGTGACAAGACACAGATTCATGGTGTACTATTGTCTTTAGAGTGGTGGAAGGTGTACAGTGCAGTTTTCACAGTGTCAGTAGGAGGACTGTTGTTTTTCTATATGAATGACCTTGACCTGGGTGTACAGGAAACTATTTCAAAATTTGCAGATGGCCCAAAAGTTGGCAGCATTGTGAACTCTGAGGAGGAATTTCATAGACTTCAAGAGGACATCGATAGGCTGATGAAACAGGTAATAAGGTGACAGATGAAATTTAATGCAGCAAATTGCTGAATAGTACATTTTCATCGTAGATCATAGAATAACTACAGTGTGGAAACGGGCCCTTCGGCCCAACTAGTCCACACCAACCCTCAGAGCATCCCACCCAGATCCACACCCCTGAACACTATAGGCAATTTCCCATGGCCAATCCACCTAGCCTGCCCACCTTTGGACTGTGGGAGGAAACCGGAGCACCCAGAAGAAACCCACACAGACACAGGGACAATGTGCAAACTCTACACAGACAGTCGCCTGAGGGTGGAATCAAACCTGGGTCCCTGGCACTATGAGGCAGCAGTGCTAACCACTGAGCCACCATGCAAGTGTTAAGTGGGTATTAGAGCAGATAGATATGGGGATATGCTGAAAGTCAATGGGTGGCAATGTAGGTACAGAAAGTTGTTACAATCCAATTCAGATCCTGGGCTTCCTGAGTAAAGGCTTGAGGCTGCTTTGTTTCCTCCTGACCCTGAGCATCATTGTGTTGAGAGCACCAAACGGGAATCAGGCATCACTGCAAATTTAAGCTGGTCAGCACATCTCACCACCTGCCCTTTCCCCTGGGTCAGGAAACATGGCGGCTTGTAACCCAACACATACATAGAGTGATCTCAGGTTCATCATTTAAGTGGCTGCCTGAAATAGAATTTTACCTTGTGTTGTTATTTTCATTGGGATTGGGTTCCTAAAGGAGCCAAGGGAAGTCAGTCAGTTTGTAAATCTAGTTGGAATTCTGCTGTTGGGAAGCTTTTGGGTTGGGAAGCCTAGTAAAAGATAAACGGGGGTAATACTTAAAAATAAACAGACTGGCTGTACTGGAGACTGGTGAGGTAGACAAAACACATGGGTCTATTTTACATCATTCACACATTTTAATGGATTTTCCTGCTAGGATGTAAGTTTGAAATCTCTTACTAACTTCAATTGTCATAATTAGATGCTTTCTGAAAAGTAAAATATATTATTGATGCAGTGATTTACCATAAGGTCCTGACCTTAAATGGAAAGAGACTGTTAAATTGACCAGTGCAGTTAAAGGTTGAGATACATTAGAGTACTAATTCCAGCATATAGAATGCTCTTCTGTATTCAACAATAAGAAAAATTAGGTATGAATGTGTACAGGGAAATCCTGTGGTTTGATTTTCATATTGATTTAATGTCCTGATAACTGCTGAATCTTTGGAGCTTTCTTCCAGTATCCAGTATGCACAAAACTAATAAAATTATCATTTAAAATTCCAATTAAATTTCACGTTCACAAAGTTCACGCTGCAATTCACATTTCCATTGAAAAA